GCCGGCGGCGCCTTCCACACCTCCCGGGAGCGCGCAGCCGGGGCCGTGAGCGCCCGCGGGCAGGGAATTTAAGGGGAACCCAAACAGGGCACGAGGGATCAAAGTCCGAAATTATATTCCACGTAACATTCTGTTATACTCCGATTTTCAACCTGATCACAGCGATTCCGAAGACAATGTCTTAGCCTGGGGAGACAAATAGCTCGTCCAGCAGTGATGCCCATTTAGCTAGGAAAAACAAGCAGGGATGGTGTTGACAGCTACTGCAAAATTGTTTGGAAATGATACAATATTCTAATACGTCGTAGAGCCAGACTGTATTGTTTTAAATTCAAAGTCTGTGATCACTCAGTGAAAAACGCAGTCTTGAGATAACATTTAATGAAACAGTAGTAAGCAGTAAATCCCTGCCTTCTCTGTTTAACAACTCTTAGTGGTCAATTATAAAACATTAACATAGTTTTTTTGTGAAAAACCCAACCACAAGGAACATAGGAAAGCATACAAATGCAAATTATGTCCAATTAAAGGGTTCAGGAATTTCCAAATGGAAAATACACTTCTAGGGCCCATCCCCAGGTGTTTGTAGAAGGTCAGAACTCAAAGTTCAGGCAAAACTGAATGAACTCCACTAATCCAGCGCACCATTTTCTTCAACAATAGATCAGAGTCCAGGGCAAAGTGGCAAAATGAAGCTTCAGTCATACCCTTCCACTTCCCCTTAGTCCTTCCTTTTCTCCTTGATTTTATTCACTCCCCATTCAAATAAGTGTTGGGTTGTTGTTTGTTTGTTTGTTTTAAAGAGAAACTGTTGTTCTGTTATATTAGTAGTATCTTATTATATAATGCTCCTGTGTAGACTATGTACCTGTAACATCAAACATCTATGGTATGCATAATACATGTATATGTGTATATATAATACACATATAAGAATACACAAGGCTAAATCTTTAGTCATACTAGTCACTGTACAAGTGTGTAGCCACAGTGCTCCTGTTTTCAGCCCAAATGAGCCACTCAATACACTCTCTAACTCATTCCATTCCCACTAGTCAATCTCCTTGCTAACGATGTAAGTGGTATCATCTAACCACGGAACCGTAGCATCTGAACTCCTCTGCCCATGCAGATGCTAACCAAGAACCACTTCCTCTTTCTCGTCAAATTCTTGTGCTTTGGCAACTTTTGTTCCTTCTCCATAAAGGGATGCGTGAGCCAGAAGTCTTACAGGGTACAGACCTGCCCCTCCTTCTCTCACTGAGGAGGAGGAGGAATCGGGTCCTAAACTTAAAAGTTCTTAGAAGCTAACTTCCTTTGGCACCAAGCTAAAATAGACCAAGATCAGCAGGTAAGCATGGGCTACTCGTAGGAGCTGAAGTCTTACAGTTTTGTGCAGCTTATTACGAAAGGTTTAGGGATAGCCCTGTTGTAAATACATTGCTCTCCCCCACTGCTGTGGCCGTGGAGGAAATAGGGATTGACCAACACTGTAAGGAATGAGTCACCTACAAAACTCCTTCTGCTTCTCTTTTATTTCATGTCCACTTTTGTCATTCCTTTCACTTCCCAAATTTGAAGACATCTCCATTATTAGAAATGGGAATTTCTTTCCCTCTTCTGAAGTGTTCTCATACATTTGTACTTTAATAAAAATAATGTTTCTTTGCAAAGTGATTCAATGACCCTAACTGGCAGGCATGCTCTACAGTTAGAAGCAAGATGATTCCATATTCTATTTGAGGCCTTCCCTTGTTCAACTGAAGGCATGTTTTCTTAACTTTCTTAATTGAATTGTCCTCTGCACCCTTCTGAAGTGTTAGCTTTAGCTCTTCTCTCTCCTCTTACAGCCTGTTCTTCCTAAACAAAACAGCTCCCTGACGACATTTTCTCATCTATGCCTTTTCTGCATTGGGGTAAACACCATATTAAACTTCTAGTGTTTCAAAAGACAGTTTATGCATCTTCTACAATACAATTTCCAAACTTGTATATTGGATGAAATACAGTTTTTCTTTAACCCATGTCTAAATTTTTTAGCATTAAAAATGCTAAAACTTGGTGTCCTTATAGTCTTAAAATTCAGCTTTAAACACTATATTAAAATTGGCATCATAGGATTCAGTGTTTTTGTGTCTCCCCTCTACTTAATTTCAGTAGTAAACTGAAATAGGATTAGAGGAAAGGTCCACACATAGATAAACAGCTTGTAAAAGAGAGAAGGGTAGAATTAATTTTTACAGTTAATTCTAGAAAATACTTGTCCTTGTGCTTGCTTTGCTCAGCATACACACAAAGTAGAAGCCAAATAGTGAGGCAAAACCCTATTTTTAAAGAATATTCATCAGTCAGGGTCAATTACTTGTCATTATACAGGACTGCAGAAGATCTCAAGGTCAGTACACTTTCTGTCCAGGTAACAAGTTTCAGCAGTCAGTTTAGACAAATGTGAAATAATGCACAAGTGATGTTTTTGCTGACTGTGTGCCCCAATAGGAAGGACACTGCCATCAATAGGCAGCACACAGGGCAGATCTTTCCCTCCAATTGTAGAGCATACAAAGGGGCTATGAGGTAGCTGACAACCAGAGGAAGAAAAAGATTGATACATTCACTTGCTGTATATAATGAAGTGAAGAAATGAGCAAACCAACTCAGAAACCAGGTGATTAGTCCAACTTCAATCACACAGCAATTGCCCAAAACCAGCATCATTGTTACATACATAATCCCCTTTCTGCTCCTGGTTGTGGGGGTGCCCCACCACTGGGAGCTCTGCCTGCAATGGACAGTCAGGGAGCCCTTCCAGTAACTGGAAGCCCTACATAATACATCCAGTAGATAGACAGACTCCCCCATTCACTGCAAGCAGAGCCAGCCTCTATGCTGCTAACTTTACAGGCAGGACACCTGGTGATCTTGGCCAGGCCTTGAGAGAAAAACCAATCAAGGAGATCTTTCCTGTCTGGTTGTGGACATCATCCATATGTCAACCCTGATTCAGGGCTGGGGAGTTAGACCCCAGCACTTCAGTGAGTGGGAAAGGAGGGGGTATTGCTATATTTTTTTGTTAACATATACAGTGATGGAGCTAGAGTAAATCCATCTATGAAAATGTCAGTTAGATGCAGCAGCAGCCCAAAAGCAAGTCGATTGTTAAACAGTTTGAAAGAAAGAATAAAATGGAAAATACCATCATCCTACACAATAGGCTGTGGTGCACTCGTTACAGTTTCCCTCCCTTTCCTCATCTCAAAAAAGACAAGGTAGACAGGGCATGCTGAAGGACAGCAAATCTGATCAATTGTTTAAGGCAGTTCTGATCAAAGAACAAATAACCAGACCAGAATATTTCAGTGGGAGAAAGGGGTGTAGAGGGAAGTCCCTATGATAGAAATAAGGAATCAATATAACAGGACCGTCCTACAACAGTGCCTAAAATAAACATCTATAAACCCAGGAGTGGCTCAGGAAGCTGCGGAGGAGAAAATTGTTAGAGATTGGATAGGTTCAAAACAGGTGCCCAAAGTGACATTTGAGATGTCCTTGGGGATCCCAAGTGACATTCAGCTACCACTCCAGAACAGGACACGCTCTTGCACATCACAGACATGCATCTTCCACCTCCATAAGGACGTCTCACATATTCTAGGTCACCTGAAATAGCTCTAAAGGTCGGTGCTTAGGCAACAGGAAAGCAGCTGCTGGGGAGGTAGCTAGCACTGCTAGCTATTGTCACAGGAGACAAGCTGCCAGTTTTGAGGTTAACCCACATGTCACAAAGCCAATGTATACCCCAGCTAGCCCCAAATGAGCTGCACCATGCTGTGTAGTCACACTGATGTGACACTGTGGGCAGAGGCCACAATGACACAGCTTCATTCTTCCTGGGATGGAGCAAGCTTACGCATTTCTTTGCAGTGCCGCACCTCAGGACACAGGCACAGTGTAAAGCAAAGTAGCATTACTATTTTAACCAAAGCTTCTGGTGTTTGTCTCAATGGAAACCCCATTTGAAGGTGGCATGGTTGTAGGCATGACTGTATGTATGTAGAATTAAGACATTAGAAAAGAGGGAACTGAATCATGAGTTTTCACAGGTAGCTGGTAGGTAAACATTTCTCCAATATTTTTAATACTAGTATATTTTGTATGCAAATCAAAGCCACAGAACTTAAACATATCAATCGTTTTTGAGAGACAAGCATTCTATAAAATTTCTTTTTGTAATAGAAAAGTAGCACAATATATTTACACACTTACTGGAACTCTGAAGAAAACCACAGTTAAAAAGGTCTTGTAATGGTTACAGTAATCTTTTTTTTCTCCCTTCTACAGTATTCTCACCAACCAAGAATTTTACATTCTGACTCTATTCAAAGCGTTGCAGCAAACACGGATGTTTCTGAAATGTGGGAGAATGATCTGCGCCCTATCCTGATAGAAAGATACGCAGGATCACAAGGAAATTACATTGTACGACAGGTAAGACCATGTTTCCTGAAAACCTCCAAGAACATCTATTATTTATATTCTGGTTGCACTTTAGTGACCGCTAAAGGGACAGACACATTCCTTTCATTTGGTAGGATTAACTCCATCATTGTTGAAGTCCAGACAGCACAGAGTTGAGATGGCACAGCTTGCATTGCAGCTGATGTTATTTCCCAGGGCTGCGTAGCATGATGAAAAAAAACCTGACTGTTTTTCAATTTATGTTTTAGATTAAAAAGCTTGCCTCAGGTTTGGAGCCAAAGTACAACATAACTGTTGTCCTTTCCCTCACATGTGCAGGTTTTTGGTCACTGGTTCAACCTCACTGGCACCATACATGGGGATGAAATAAATGACACCTCCCCACCCTTTTCCTGGAGAGGTCCTCTGCTGTTACACTCCTCTGTAGTGCGGCTTCAGGAGGGTGCATCAACACAAAATGGAGTCAGAGTGGCCCAGATGGGCAGGCAGATGAAATGGGCAACATGACAAAGTGCAGCACTGGTCCAAGTACCATGCTAGCTCTGCTGGCCCAAGTGCAGCAGTGTGTTCATGCTGGGCTGATGTATCCAGATTGCACCTAGCCTCGAGCCAGTAAGAGCTCCAGCACCTTGTATTTGAGCCCACAGGGAGTCACCACGCGGCTGGGTTGCTGCCCTGTCAGCACCTCTGCTCTGCACTCGGGGCAGGGGCATCTTTGGGACTGGGTGCCAGGCTAGCTCTGGATTATGTTAGCCAAACAGGAGGCTAAAACAGTGGTACAGCTGCATTTACTAGAAGACGTTCACAACACCTCACTAGCCTTCATCTTCCCTTTAGGCAGTGGCTCACCAGCTCCAAGACAGCCCTAACTACAGTAAGCGTTTTTGCCCCCCTGGAATTGGCAGACTGGAGAAATGCAGCTTTTTCAAGCGTTGTGTGTGCGCACGCACGTCGCTATGGATTTAATTTTGTGGTTTCTTTAGTGATACCCTGGAAGGCAGCCAAATGAAAGGGGGAAAAGTAAGAAAAACAAAACCAACAAAAACCTGAGCCTAGGCCACAAATCACGTTCAAAAGTGGATCCTCCTGTAACAAGGTAACAGCATGTACTGAAGTACTGAAGTAAACCCCCACCAAAGGGAAAAAAATAAAGAAGAGTGTTCCATTGTCAAAGCACAACAGAGTTTGAAAAGGATGACATCTCTTTGTTAAGACACTGAAAAAGCATCAGACTCCTTTAAGGGAGAAAGCTTACTCCCAGTCAGGGCTAGCACACACTGGGAACTCCATCCAAGCTTAGATATTCCCCTTAACCCATAACAGACATCCTCCGCTCTGCCTACAGGTAGTGGATAGACCATCCAATGCCATAAAAGCTTTTAGAGGATGACTACAAACAAAATGGAAGCTTGTTCTAGCAGTAAAACTTATGGCAATATTCCCACTGACTTCACTAAGAACAGGACAAGTCTTCAAAGTCTCTTTTCTTTTTTTCCACTTAGAGGCTTTTCTTAATGTTTATTTAAAGAGAGAGGAATCTGCCTTGAAGGAGCACTCCTGGGACCGATAAAAATAAGTTCCTCAGCAGAGACAGTCCCCAGAATTCTGTACTAAGTAGAACTGGGGTTATTAGAGAAATTCTTGTTAGGTAGGAAGATACCTAAAATGAATGATGTCTTTCATAGATTCACTGCCTTAATTTTTATTTTTAGATGAGCTACACTTCCAGGGTTACATTTAAAAAAAAACCTCAAATGTTTAATGCTTTTTTTTTTTAATTTACAGGAGTCAGATTGTCTCTTACAGCCTTGCAAACAACTTCTGTCACTTGAAAGACACAGTTCTCACAGAACCTAAAAACACACCCAAATACCCCACAACAAACACAAAGATACCACAGCAGTATAAAAAAAAAAATTGCTGCGGTGTTATGTGTGGTAATGGTCAAAATAGCCACAACAAGTTCTCCGCAGCCAGTTCTGACTTCTAATTTAATGACACAGAGGAGTTTAGATTTGAACAGGCAAACACTAAAACTGTCCTGGTTCTGCCTGAAAAAAAACCAAAACACTGGCCTGGAAACTTCAGAGACTAAGATCTTAATGTGTCATATTAATGGGCAATCATTCAAAGCACCTTCAGACTCCAAAGACAAGAGACAAAAGTGAAAAATAAAGAGCGAGTGAGCCAGTCAATGGCTAAAGTACCAAACATTGCTTATTTTATATAATGACATTGCATGCTTTGCTATAAAATTTATCTTTTGAAAATACTGCAAACTTACAGAAATAAGCTGAAGTGCCACTATTAGTTAGCTAATGGCAATTTGTCTGCAACATCTTTCTGAATAAGCAATAGTAATCTGATTTTTTTATTTTTTTTTTAATTGCAGCATATCAAACACCGTCTTCAAAGATTACAAGCTGGTTGGGAAATTGAAGAAGATACATTTCAGAGATACACACCATATGGATATAGAACATTTTCAAATATTATCAGCACCCTCAACCCTACTGCAAAACGTCATCTGGTACTTGCTTGCCACTACGACTCAAAATTTTTTGGACAACAATGGCAGGAGACAGTGTTTGTAGGAGCAACTGATTCAGCTGTGCCTTGTGCTATGATACTGGAGCTGGCACGTGCCCTGGATAACCAGCTTCAGTTAATCAAGGTAGTTTGCTTTTTTAATTTTTGAGTTGTGGGTTGGGGTTTTTGTTTGTTTGTTTGTTTGTTTGTTTTTCCCCTCCCGCCCCCAACAGCAATAGGCCTTAGGGCCCTTCCATGGTCTCTCCCACAGCCTTCATGCCCAGTCTTCTGCTGCACCTGTAGTAAAACTCCCACTGACTTCCAAGAACAGAGCAGGGGTGTGTATCTAGTGCTTTAGAGTACATCATCACATTAAGACTTTTTATGCAAAGAGTGGCTATCTAAAAATTATCTATTACATATACACTATATAAAGATAACAGTTTATAAAAAAAATACATGCTTCACAGACTCAGCGAGATATAATCCTGCTTTTGATCTAAGAGGGCACAGAGCCCTACTCAGAAGCTCCTCTCCTATCCAGTAACATCTACAGTCACTGACAAAGTTTTGGTGCTTTCTAAATCTTGCACTTTTAAAATCTCTGTTGTATTGTTTTGGGAGACAGATGAACTAATTGTTGTGCAGGAGTGAGAGCCATGTCCCTCCATCTCATAACAATTTCAAACTTTTCTTCTTTTTTTCCATTATCAATTTGAATAGTTTATTTATGAAACAAGTGATGTCTGAGTACAGGAAAACAGCCAATCAGTAGTGTGGTATTATCAGTCTGTGTTACCTTATGCTATGAAAATCTGCTTCGAGGTGGAGCCATTGCTAGGCACAGAAATCTGTGGCTGGTACAAGCTCTGAAAGAGAGGATGGAGGATTACAGATTCATGGTGCCATCTACTGGTTCACTATTTACTATTTACAGCAGAGTACTCCTCATACACCAACAGAGTTTTCCCACAAAAAGGTCTCCCAAATGCTTTACAGAGTGTCAGAAATACACTCGACTCAGGTATTAACTTGTGGTAGTCGTTTCCAGAAACTGACATCTTCTGACATCAGAATATTTTAGAATTAAAAGGTTAAGAATATGCCAATGTTTTTAACCACAAACCAAATCACTCCTGTAATACAAATGCTTTAATTTAGAAGCTTCATTTAGAACAAATTTGGTTATTTATGGAACAACCTGCACACCAACTTAAAGACTGGAATTTTTCACGAGCGATAACAGCTTTTTTTGATTAAAGTGCTTTACAGCATAAGATGAGAGCACTTGACAAAAAGGCAGTCTAGTTACTTTGCACAGGCTATGATTTGTACAGTCCGTTAACAAAATATACTCTGGGATCCATCTGCTTAATACATTAGCTATGACCTTTTTGCTCTGCTCATAGTAGCATAACAGACTGTTATGTTTTCAGCCAAATCTATTTGTAGTTTGAGTTAGAGCTGTGATTTTTATCTTGATGTTTCTCCAGTTATATAGAGTAAGTTTAAAATGAAAAGGCAAAGACGTGTCTCTATGTTACTCAGACCTGGAAATGTTTTAAACAGTAATAATAATAATATACTACTACAAAAACTACCTTCTAAAATACAACAGTTATTAATAGTTTCCTCCAGACCGCAATGCAAAATTACTGCAATCAAAAGATCCCTGTTGTGTGCAAAGGACAAAGGGCAGCAAAGCATTGCCATTAGAGAAATCCATGCATGACTGTGACCATAATCAATATACTCATGCCTGTGTGAGCGACCTTTTAGAGAAGTTTTCCACTACTGTTTTTATTGGATCTGCTCCAGCTAGTTAGGAGTTGTAGCCCACACAGGACATGACTGTTGCCAGTGACCCCACCTTTCAACCACACCACGCCATTTCCCTTGTAACATTAATTCACAGAAGGGTTGAAATATTTCTACCAATTTTGAAGACTACAGACCCCAAAACGGTTGAGACAGCAGAACTGAACTGGGTTAGCCATCTCGTAGATCATTAGGAAACGCTGCCAGTGCAAACAAGGCTTAAGTTTAAGCAGAGAGAAAAAAGGCTCCTCCTACAATGGGAAGGAATTTCACACAGATGTCTCCTTTTGTGACCTTAAATACATTAAATACAATATCTTATATATTCTCAGTTTTTGCTGCTGTGATATTTTGGTTTGTTGAAAGGGAAGGGTGTATCTACACCACTGTCTGTGCTTTGCTTTTAGGGTAAAGTCGCCTTGGTGCTCACAAGTTCCCCTGAAGAAAAAGAAATGGTCATTCTTCTCATGACTGACTGTGCTTTGTCCCTCAAAGAACTATCAACTTTACAAACATGTAATTAACCTCCACTGGTGCACAACTGTAGCAGAGAGATTACTCCTTTGTGGCACTATCAAGTAATAATATCACTACTCACATCAGGTGTTGATGCTGACCTGTCTCTTCGTTACTTGAGATGATGTTTCTGCTACCTGCTTTTGCAGACCCATCTCAACATACTCCGCTCACATCTGCTAAAATCAGAAACGAATCTTTTAACCAGAACCAAAATGATGCCAGACTGGAGGACATGTCACCCTGCTAGATAAATAGTAACAACTGATCACTAACACTATCACTCTGTAACGTGTTTAACAGCCAGAGGAAGGTTTGCGTAGGATACCTGGAAAATATCCCCAACTGATGGGGTTTATATGACTACAGTATTTGTCCTTTATTCAGTGTTCTGGCCAGGATCAGTTATATTACTTTGAACTTCTTCCAACAGACCAGTTCAACCTCAAGACCAGACCTTTCACTTCAGCTCATATTTTTTGACGGTGAAGAAGCCTTTGTCCAGTGGTCGCCTTCCGATTCCCTCTACGGATCAAAACACTTAGCTCAGAAAATGGTATCTACTCCACATCCACCTGGTTCAACAACCACAAATCAGCTGCAGGGCATAGTAAGTCACTTTCAGCTTCCTAATGAGTAATAGTAAATAGCATTTTAAAAAATGTTTGATGAGTAAGTGACTGGCCAAATTCCCAAGAAACCATGAACTCAACCAAAGTTAAAGGAAGAAGCCGGCTTGGGGAAATTTTTTTGAGATGTGATACGAGAGAGGGTGGGCAAGAACTTCTTAGGTAAATTTGCTTAGACCGTCTCCATGTCAGCACGAGGACGAATCATAGAAAGATCAAACACACAGGTTTATTATAATATAAACTAGAATACCTACCTTCTTCAAGAGAGATAATTCAAAGTGATTAGGAAAGAGCACAGACATAGTACTGATCTGGGAACAAATCTCCCCTAGCTCAGCACTGACCTACAGCAAGGTTGCTGTTCCCCTTTGATTCCCACTAAAATTCTGTTTGTTTGCTCCTTTCTTCCCTCTGCCTTTTAAGTTTCCTACTCACTGCCCAGACACTTTTATTCTCTCACTGTATCTGGTGACTCATAACATGTCTTTCCCTTGATAGACTTTGTTGTTCTCTGGGGAAGAAGCAATTTCCTCTTCTTTCTCCCCACCTACCGTAGTTTCTCTTTTAAAGGGAAATAACACACAAACTGAACAAAACAGTGCAGTCTGCTCCAGCTTGAGGCCCAGAGAGAAGGCCCACCTTTGTCCTCCTCCTCAGAAAGACAGCAAAATGCATCAGACCAGAATCGGGTTCTGCTATTGAGTTCTTCTTAGGCACCATGGCAGAAAAGTTGGATCTTTGGCCAGATCTATCAAAGACCTAGTCGTGACCTATACAGGAACCAAGAAGTTTCATTGCTGCTGCTGCAGTAGTCATGTGAAGAACCCTGTATTAAAGACTCTTTGTTCTGTAGGACCTGTTTGTACTACTGGATTTAATTGGTGCACCAAACCCGGTCTTTCCCAATTATTTTCCAAATACTATTCGATGGTTTCAGAGGCTTCAAGAAATTGGTAAGGAGAAGGGGTATGGGCTTTTGATTAATTTAAAAATTTACTGTGTCGCTTCTGAATGTATTAAGTCCTGTACATCAGATTTTTAGATTTTTTTTTTCTTTTACAGTTCTAATGTAAATGTTAAATTTAGTACATCTTAAACCCACACAAAGGTTTTAACAGGTAATTAATAAAATAGCTGAGGAAGATTCTCAGACACTTGGAAGCCGTGAAACAGATGCCATTACTGACTGTCACTCTGTGATTCTTGGAAACTCTTGCCTTTACTGGGCTTTAGTTCTCACTTCTGTAAAATGATGGTAAAATAACTCAAGTATGCTAACATGCCTCATATTGTCCAAAAGTTGTAGTAATCACTTTCATTGTGAATTACAGAAAGAGAGCTACATAACATGGATCTGTTGAGGAATCACCTTGTTGAAAGGCAGTATTTCCAGACTACATTACATCGAGGCTTGGTTGAAGATGACCACATTCCATTTTTATTAAGAGGTACCTGTAGCTCTTATATTTTAAAGTATGAAGTTCAGTAGCAAATGCATCATTTAGTGAATGAGCAAGTGTTTTTCAAGCTTGAATGATCCTATTTTTCAAGCTTATTTGCCCCAGCTCGAGGCTTCCAAATCTAACTTCATGCAGGTCAAAATTCACAGCTTTGAAAAACATACCCCAAGAAGAGCAGCACTAAACACACCCGTCATCAGTTTGCACGAGCACAGCTCCAATGGCACAGAGATAATGGAAACTTCTGTCAGCAGCAGTGTCCTGCAAAGATAAGCAACTCTGATCCAGTGGCACATGACTACATATCACGCTAGCCTGCTAGCTACTATTTCTAGGAGCAGTGAAACACTCACGGGTCATATCTTCAAAGGCTATATAAATCTCTAAAGATCTGTTGTCAGCGTTAGAGTAATGCTCACTGTTACCCATTTGAATTTGAAGGCAATGGCTCCTGCAGAATCTCACATACTCAAATTAGACATCCTCAGTCCCTAAAGAGAATGGCCACGTCACAGCTGCCAGCTTGAAGAGTTAACTTAAAAGGAACCTGACACTAGTTCAGTGAGGAGGGGACCTATCTAGGAAAGGAGGGACGTATCTTCATATTTGGCCCCCAGTTATACCATGGCTTATGCTCTGTTAACTACTGAGTAACATAAAGCACGCACACAGCTCTGAAGCAGGGCCAAGAGCAGCTACACGTCCCCCCCTTCTAAGTGAGTGCTCTCTTCAGTGACCTGTAGTTACTGTCTCCTGCTCAACAGCTCTTCAACTTCATGAGTCTTTAGTTTTTCAAAGCAAAGCAGGGCCCAGGTCCAGTGAAACCAACACAGCCATGATAGAGGGTACAGGGATATCAAAACTCCTCCGTGGCAGAAGCTGTTGAGGAAAACAATGACTACAACTCAGAACTTTTTTCTCATAACACAATTAACAGTTACTGAAGAAAACTAATTCCTTGGTGGTATACAAATGAAAAATGTGAGAGGAAGAGCAGTAAAACAGGAAAGAGGCTGTAGACAAACAACGCTCCCTCCAAAAAGTGTTCAGGAAGCAGAACACATCATGATTTAACTCCTTTTTTACCTAGAAGTTGCAGAGTGTATGGGTGGCTTGATGTGTGTGTAAATACATACATATGCAGTGCAACAGATCCTTTCAAGCAGAAGTTCTTTTATCTGAGGATAACAGTGGTTTGGTTTTACTGAGTAAAAATACAGACACCCTATTTTACCATTTATGGAGAGGACTAAAAAATGCTTCAGAAAGTGCTCAGTCTTAGCACTGTCACAAGTGCGTGGTAATTGGTTTTCAGTCTGGGGAGCTGTAGTGGTTTCTCTGCCCTTCTGTAGCTCCTAAACACAGTATCAACAACTACAACGCAAAAGATCTCAAAAAAAACCCCCAGCCAAGTATCACAGTAAAACTACTAGCTGCAGGTGCCTTTAAAAAGAAAAGATAAAAGGGGAAAAGTACTCAAAGGGAAGGAAGGTGCCAATTTTGCCAGTTTTAGCAAACAGAATTAAATGGATGGGCTGCAATCACAGGCTTCAGAAACAGAAGGCAAAAGGAAGCTGCAGTGACACACACTGCTTAGTTGAGTAAGCTGATTGAGCAGTTGCCTGACTGTTGCTAAATGGCAACATATCAATGGGCTTAAAAGAACTTCTCTAATATTTCTTCTCCAATTTCATTTCCTCCTTACAGGGGTTCCAGTTCTACATCTGATTCCATCCCCTTTCCCTGCAGTGTGGCATACCATGGAGGACACAGAAGAAAATCTTGACGAAGCCACGATTGACAATCTCAGCAAAATCCTGCAAGTGTTTGTACTGGAATATCTAAACCTGTGACAGATAAAATGGCAACAAATTGTTCTCCATTCTAAATGCTGTTTGCTCACCTTCACGTTTGCCATTTAATTGCAGTGGAGAGTGCTAAAGTGAAGCAAAATATAATGATAGCTCTTGCTAGGCTGATTATTGATTCAGCTGTTCCTGGCCCCATGTTCCACGTAGCCAAATAAGATAGCATTAAATAAGAATGAGTTTCAGCCTTTCCTTGTCTTACCTCTGAATAAAAAACCTCAGAATTTTTCCAGATTGTTTTAACTTTTGTCACAGGTTAAGACCCCAGGAAGGAATGCCTCCTGACCCAAGTGTTAGCTACAGTTTTTACAAGGCGTGTCAACTTTTGCAGTGTTCAGCAATGGAAATTCACACCACATTATCAAGAGGAAAAATAACACTAATACAAACCACTACTTTGTGTTGAACTAAAGGACCTCATCCTGAAATGAGTTGCTAGAACTCCTGACACACAGAAGGGATTTTTAATCCTCTCTGCTCCCTTTGCCCTCCAAAAATGTCTTCAAGGGCTCTTGTCCACAGATGGCGAGCCACCAGAAAATGCAGAAATAACCCAAATTTGATTTTCTCCCTGTTGTTTGTTGGATACTTTTTGATCCAAGGGTGGTGGGGAGTGATGCTAAGATGAAGGTATGTAGGGGTTTCCCTCATGCTTTCATTGCAAAACAGGAGATTTAAACTGAAGAAGAGGTGGTGTGTGGGAGCAGTGTCCCAGCACACACCGTTCATTCATTTGAGAATCATTCACAATTTAAATTGTGAACTTGTGAGTTAAATTATCCAAAACAAAACAAAACAAAACCTGCTGTTTGAAATACAGATTACATCAGAAATAATCATACCAGGAAAGTGATCACTTTAGAAAATGTTTTTATGAAAATATAATGTTAAAGGCAAAGTGCTACCTATCAAGAGTAAAATGAGTCAGAAGCAAGAGATTAAACACCAAAAAGCAAGGACAAGCCCTAGCCTACATTGGAAAAAAATACCAGTTTAACAACCATGTGCCTTTACATTCCTTACTGGGATAATTCAGTAAATTTAGTATAACACTGGCAAAAACCTAGCCTGGAATAAAATCAGTAATAGAAGCCAGAAGAACAGTATTCAAAAGCTACCTACAGAATTGCAGTTTTCACTGGTGAGAAAAAGAGGGAGAGCATTTGGGTAAACTAAACTGGTCGAAGATGAACTGAGAAAAAAACAAGTCAGTATTTTACTGCTCCAAATTTCTTCCACTAAATAGTTCTGCCCTGGGCAAAAAGATGTAAAAAGGAAGTGAGCTGTGGAGTTGTAGGCATGTCAGCTTTGGCCTGTATTTTACCGTTTTCCTGAAGTAAATATTTTGGAACTGAAGACAATATTTCCATACATATTTTGAAGTCACACTAGAAATATGTATTTACAGCAACACAAATTGATAACTATTTACTATTACAGGACAGTCTGAAAATGAAATTCAAACTAGTTTTGTTGCTCAAAATGAGACAAAAGTATTTTGTTTTCCCATCACTTTAACATTTGTGAAGTGTTTCTATTTTGCATGCAACTTCTGAAACAGACCACAATAAAAATTCTAAAAATTGGACAGATGTGTTTATTTTCAGGTATTACTGTACACCTGTGTAAATACAAAGCTATTTGAACTCTTTGCTGTCACATCCTCCTCTGCTTCATCCCATGAGAAAACTTCCTAAACAGCTACAGTAAATCATTTTAAGTATGAATACTCTGAGCAGTATAAGGCACCTACTACACCCTACTAAGTGGCAAAAAAAAAGGTGACAAAACTTGCTATATACAGAAATCTTAAACATGAGTTTGTGTGGATAATTTTGTTTTTACAGGTGAACTCTTGTGGTGCTTTATACTTTGCAGGGTCTCTGAAAAAGGCAGTATGCGTTTACAGTGTGCACTGCCACTCTGCTTCAAGAATTTCAAAGTTTGCTTAAAGAGGCTTCATTATGAAATGTGGGATCAGAAGGTTGTTGTAAGTGGGAAAAGCCTGATTTTTTAAAATCTCTATTAGAGTTAGTTGAAACCATAATTTAAATATAAAGTACACCAAATCTCTGGCAAGTCAATTTTATTACCAACTTCTCACTGCCTGAGCTTGCAATTCTCTTGAGTTCTGTTGACTCGATTCAAAAAGATGAGAACTAGGTTGGTGTAATATTACTCAATGGTTCTGAAAACTTGAAGTTTGCTTCCCACACCCTCCCCAGGCTTTGGGGGATTTTTTTTTTTTCCCTGTACAGGAAAAGAGGGCCATCTCTTAACTGGATGTGAGCCCTGGAAAAGGCTTACTTAAAGAGGGGAAGGGCATCATCTTAGCAATTTATATGGCACATCATTAATTTAAAAAAATAATTGCTGGAAGGAAAACTTCTACCAGCACAGTAACCACATGAATCTAGGAATCTCAGCTCTCAGAAGCACAAGAACCCAAAGTTGTCAGTAAAGCAAAGACATGGTACAAGGTGGGTTCTCACTTTTGCTGAGGCAGAGGAGAACAAGCAGGTAGGAGGAAGTCTAGCCATTTGATAAAATACCCAGAAGACAAAATACAACTGAAAAGACCTTGACTGGTATCTCTTCCATCTTTGTATCAACACGATATCACCAAGTACCCAGATCTGTAGGATCTGTATGTGCACAGTGCAGAAAACCACTTCAGAATCCAGAGACCAGACTTATGCTGAAGAACCTACCCCCGGAGAGTCTTATCTGTCCCTGGTGAATGGTAGCAGCAGGGGACAGAAAACAGCTGAAGGACTTCATCAGCAGAGCTCCTGCACAGATTCTCTCGAGTAGGATTTGTCACATCTCAGTCAAGAAGGGGAAAACAAAAAAATCATGAATCTACCACACCCACGAGCTGTCACTGGCTTGTCAAAGTCCTCCCAAAGGTGTGTGTGGTTATCACCTGGATGAAGGGAATGCAGAACAGAATGAACTTAAGAACTACTACTCAATAGCTAAAGCTGCAATATCCCCCATATTACATTAGTTACTTGTATTGCAGTAGGCACTCTAACTCCTTTTCTGCCAGGACACTGCAGATTTTCACAGGGATCTTAAGTACGTAATGGTACACACCCCTCAGATTCTCCAAAGCTTGACACATTTACTACAATCACAGCTGGCACAAGTTAAAGAGGCAACAATGTCAAACCCTCCCAGAGAAACGATAGCAGCTACCATTCTGTTTTTTCTTTAGCTGGTGCAGCATTCCTACCACTAGGAATGAAGACAATATAAATTAGCAATTCTTAGTCACCACATTTAAAATAAACATTTAGATTGTGACCACCTAACCGCAAAGTACAATTAGAAAAGACAAAACGCAGTGAGAAAGCTTTCTGTAGAATTATTACAAGGACCCAGCCTGCACTAGTAGCAGACTCGGCAAAATGGTTCTGAAGTTTCACACACCTGCTCGTTGAAATTGAAGTATCACCCAAGAGCATCACTTCATCAATATATATAAAAAGATAACTATAAAATTTTATACACAAATTACCACTTTTTCCTTGTTATTTAAGGATGACACTGATTTTATTTTCCTCGTATAAAAGGAGACATTTTACTCTGTACTGATTTAACAAATATTCAATATATTCATAACAATAAAGCAGCTAAAAAGCTGTTCTAATCTCTAAAAGAATCTTTATCATCTGCACATGTGATATATATTGTAAACAATCACTCAAAAATAATTTTGTTAAAGTGATTATATTGCACTCAGAATTCTGGGATTCTCATTCTCCTCATTTTAAATCAAGGATCAGCTTCATTTTTTAACAAAATGGAGCTTAAATTTTCTACTAAAAACAAGCAGGCATGCAATCAATATAATACAATGCATTTAAAATGTCAAGAAAAGGGCAAGTGTTTGGTTATGAAACTGGAGTAAGGAACAGTTCTCAAATAGGCCACGTGAGGGTAGAATATTGTAAACATTCTGCTGGATCTAAGGTGTTGCAGATGCTGTAGAGAACGTGGCCTAGATCAGCACCCAAGAGGAACAGAGAATCTGTTCAAGTGTTCTGTACTTCAGTCAACTTCCACGCAGCAATGGCACGTGTGACAGACTACACATCAAGACAGAGTAACGAAGCACAGGTGCTGACTGAGCTCACGCTGACCTCAGGCAAAGACAGCCAGCGGGTGTAAGGTCAGTGTTCTCTTCAAATGTTACTACATTTCTAACACAGCAATGAAACTGTTACTGTTGCTGCAAACAAAGTACAGAACTAGATTCCCTGCTCGTAGCTTACATGGACTGTATACCAGAGGCAGTGTGGATGCCACCCTCAGCCTAAAGCATCCCAGCAAGATACCATCATGCAGAATGTCACTTTGCTCTGTTTGCAAGAGTGGCGCTCTCCTCTGTGCTTAGGAGTCAGAAACACAGGTAGTGGAGGTGGAAAAAGAAGTAAAGTTATGTTCTTAAAGCAGAAAAATAAATCCTCAGCCAGTGTGAAGAGGCCACAGATCTTTAAAATTCAAATGAAGGCTGTTTTCTCAACTCAGGTCTAGAAGAGAAAGATTTCTCTATCAAACCCATTATCTCCAGGTAACATAAACCCTTTGGAGTCCCTGAGATACTACAGCTCCATATAACCACCTTGGACAAACAGAGACTGACTTAGCATACAGATGAACAAGGTGGAAGCCAATATATAGCACCCTGAGTTGCAAGCGAAACAACAGGAATGGGCAACCCACTCCTCAACAGCCAGGAGGTGCAGAAGAAAGTGCAGAGGAGGTATTGGCTAGGGAACTGTAAGATGCATACTGCACAGGAGAAGAGAAAAAAGTTGAAGTATTTCTAAAAGGCCTTTCCCATGACCAGAGCAGTGAAGAAACAGACATCAGTCACAGGGAGAGCTTCCCAAGAAAGGCCCTGAAGAAATATGGCCTTCTAGATGGACAGCAGAATGACAATGCAGGAGCAGAGGCAAGCCTTGTCCCAAGGGTGCCCCAAAGGATACGCACTCTAGCAACGACAAAGAGCTGCCAGCAATCACTGACCTGTACTCTGGATATAAACCAGGAATAGAAATAGATACTTTCCCCCCTGAAACTACAGAAAAAAAATAGAAAGGTGAAAAATACAAAGTCATAATCAAATCAGAGAATACTTCTCATAGTCAAAAATTAGATACTGGCTTCAGACACAATACAGCCATCTGTTCTGTATCTTAAGATAGGGTTAATCATAAAAAAAGAGGTGCTTGTAAAATCTTGTTTGAAATATTTTATTTCCCAGTATATTGCTAAATAATAGCAATATTTAACAGTTAAACCAAAAAGGAGGAAATTAGAGATGAATATGGAATACTTACAACTAGAAGATAGTTGCTGAACCACCTGAATTTCTATAAAAATATTAATTAAAATGTAAAAATACGGTATCACAAAATTTATTTGAATCTGAGATGCCAGATTGTCTTCACAATGGCCACAGTACGCAGATGGATTTTTGCAAACTAGTTGTGACTTTGTCAAAAGATGGCTTAATACAGCAATGAAAATGTCTCTAACAACTGGGACTTGCATTTCTGCAATTTCCTATTCTCTCAGCTCTTCAGCATTCATTGAGCAATTCTCACTAGAAAAAAAAAAAAAAAGCTGCCTGGTCATAATTTTACTCTCTTGTGGAGTTGTGCTATATCTCAATACATTCTTGGGAAAATTAGAAGTGAATAGAAAGGTGAATAGAAATAGACACTGTAAAAACTACTTGTAAAGTACTGTAAGTCTGGAAAATACTGGTGGTAAGACATAGGCTACTCCTGATGCAAGGAAAAAAAATTGCAATTTAACCATTTTATGAATATGAACAATGCACTTGTTCCCAGCCACTTAGAATGATCTCACATCCCAAATGTTTATAAAAAGTGGGTAATAAAAGAATTAAGTCAATACCCTTAAGTACAATAAATAACGGTGTTTATTATGGTCGGAGTTGACCACGAATGTTTGTTCCATATCTGCTTGGGACATTTGTAAAACCAGTTCTGAATCCTTGGGTTGCTCCCATTCCTGGCATCCCAAATCCTTGACTGAGTACACTGCTGTAGGGTGCGGATCCATGATTAAAGCCCAACCCGTGGGGCCTTGTCTGAGTATTTAAAAGGACGACTGGGTTCATGTTTTTGCCTGGTGTATTAAAAGAGAATTCTGGCGGTGGGCTGCTGGGCTTAGCTGGTGTGGACGTAGCAGGGTTCAGATTATCAGCAGCTTTCAAAGATGGCATTGGAATAACGTGATGATCCGAAAGGTTCAGAATATTGTTGGCAATAGGCACAGAAGATAAGGTAGGTCTGATCCAGTCATCTTTGAAAATCTGAACAGTCAAGGTAGAGACCAACGTGTATAATCTGTTAGTGACATGGGCAAGTACCATTTGTTCATTTGCATCTCTCCGAATTCGGACATGTACTGATCCAGCCTGGAAAGTGATAAAAATAAGTTGGCTGTTAACTGTTACTTCAATAAGGGGTCTCCACACGCATTCAGGAAGAGGTGAGTTATCCTGCAGAGAATTATGCAAAGACCTTTCGCTGCGGAGACTACCAACTGAGAAATTTAATTAATAATTCCATAATTAGGACACATATGATCATTCCTAACACATTGATCTCCTATGGACATATCAAGATCATAATTCAGCAAAAGCGAGTTTTAAAACCAAAATATAAAAAAACAACATGTGACAGCAGGAAAGGCAAGGCAACAGCCAGGAAAAAAAAAGCAGAACAAGAAGAACGAAGTGCAGAAGAACTCCATGTGCCAAATTCAGGAAGAAGTGTCATTGCTGTGCTCCTGGAGCAGGCAAAAGGACAACAGTCAAGGCAGACAGACTGGAGCCAGGACCATTAGCACGAACAGAGGCCACGTTCCTTGTGGAACTCAGACTAGGAGTTTCTCCTGGACGTGCAGGTAACTGCAGGCTGCCCTTGCCCTCCCCTCAGTTAACATCAGCTCATTTATCTTGAACTACTGCTGCAGAAAAAAAAATAAAAAGGACACAAAACAGAACCCCTCACGTGCTTTTTCAGGTCATATTTAATAGAGAACATGGTTCACAGCTTGTGCCATATAAGCCATTTTTACATCAGATGGTGCAGCTGAAAACAGATCCAGGTCTCAGGAAGTTCCTACTACAATCTGGAAGATGCCAATAGGTAAATATGCATACAAAGGTTTTGTAAGTATCCATGTCACATCCAACTATTCTGTGATCCGGTATTTTGAATGGCAGGAGAGTAAATTGGAAGCTATTTTCACAGCAGCAAGTCAGAGCTGTTGCCTTTTTCTTTTTTTAAGAAGAGCAGCATACTGGAAGAATTCTGAAGTCCAGAAAAACTCTAAGAGTCTTAATTTTCTGGCTGTCACAACATACTTCCATCAATTTAGGAATAACCAAGTTCTGTGTGATCATTCTGTATCACAAAACCCCCTTCACTTCCTTCAGCTTACAGAGTATCACTACATAACTGTAGTTGTTTTCTTCCACCTCCTCCCCCAGAAACGCTGACACTTACTGCGGACCATTGGTACCTGAAGGTTTACAGCTTTCTGTTTCTCCCCTCTGAGACAATTTACACTAATATACCCTTTAAAAAATATCTTTACTATTGTTTGGGGTTTCCTTCACTGCCAAAATACAAAAGAAATTCAACAGGTGCAAAACGCATGCTTTAATCCAGAGCTGAAACATATATAAATAATATTAACCAAGAGTAAAGCTTAAAAAAATATAAAGGATGGGAGAATAGGTGTTTTGTAAGAAATCAAAAGGACTGAGTACTGACTCAAATTTTTTTTTATATTTAAGATTTCAGAAGAAAGATCTTTATTTTAAAAAATTTACAGCAGTAATTGACAACTCTTTCTCAAAGGCTAAGAAGACACTAAAGAAATAACTTACCAAAGTGCCAAAACCTAACGTCCAGAAATGCTCATTTCGAACTTCCAAGACACCATCCAAAGTTGAAACCTAATTTTACACAAACGTTCAGAAATACAGGAATAAATTAGAAGTTTTTCAAATCCTTTCAGAAATGTACTTCTACACACAACTGAAAAATACACCTTTTTCAGTAGTGAAATAAAAGCTTCCATACACAGAGTGGATGATGTCTGTTAATGCTGCCACTGATGCTTGCCTACTGTACTTTTACTACCCTGAAATATCCAAATCCATCAAAAAAAGTGGATTTAAGTAACTCATTTCAAGTAACTCTTGAGAAAAATATTGCAATTTGGTAGCAACTTGATGTGCTGTAAATCAACACCTGCCTGTGCTGCTCCTCCTCCACAGCTCACATTTGTACACCACTTTTAACAGTAGCTCAAATTTAGTTAATAAAAATAATAGCTTGCACTACTTAACAGATTTGTTCCAGATACTTGAATGACACTATTCATCTTAGATAACAAGATCCATATTTCTTACGTGCAGTTAAAAATAATACTTAAAAAATGAGCAGTTTGCTTGGGCTACTCACAAAAACTTCATATTCCTGAATGCTTATTTAATCTTAGCTGTGCACACAGTGCTATGCAATATACACTCACCTCTCTGAGAAGTTTATCTAACTGGCCAATCACATGAGGTGGGGTTGTCTTTAAGAAAAAGAAGAAAAAAGTCAGAATAAAGTCCTGTTTAAGTAAGAGAGCCTTTAAGTCTGGTCTACGTATGCAAGAGACTGATGGCATGAAACAAATTCTTATGACTTTATGATGCATATTTCTACTGCCCTTAAAATACTTCTTGCTCATCACAAATTCCCCTGGGAATGCTTCCTATTCAAATGCTTGAGAAAAATTTTACGTTTTTTTAAAAATAAGGAAGTTTAACACAACTGAAATCACAAAAGACCTTGTGTGACACTGCCTTACCTGGAGTAGCACTTTCCCACTGTAGACACTCATGGGATACATGGTACCAAACGTCATCAAAGCAATGGCTACAGCAGAGGCTGTGTCTACAGCAAAATAGTTGCTAGAGAGAAAGAGCAATTTTAAAAAAAATTTAAAAAGGGTATTTACAGTTTTCAAAGATTTAAGAATTTTCTTTTGCTTCTTTTTAATTCTTTTACATTTTATGTGCTTACAGAATATTACACACACAAATCTCATCTGCACTATACACCTTTGAAAAAAGATTAATATATTAATGGAGTTGCAATCCCATTCACACAACATACAGCTTTTGATGACATCATTCCTTTTCATGCAAAAAAATGCAATTTCCCATAGATTGCATACAAAAAGTTACTTTTTTTAAACAACTGTACATACTTGATTTCAATGAGCATATATGTAATGCAAAGAGCTAGAGCTCCAGCAATATCAATCAAGACAAAAGGGTTCATCCGTGGCAGAAAGATGCTACTCAGTCCTGGGATGATTCCACAAATACTGTAACAAAACAGAAAAAGCAGTTGTCAGCTAGCTGTCCACCATCACTTCAAAACCCAAAAGTTACACCCACTACTTCAGCATTTGACTTTGACACTTTGCAGTCATAGCAATGCAGTCTCCGAGGACTCTGAAGGCCCTTCTAATTCTGCTCAAAGTTTTGTAATAGTCAGCAAAAATTAATCACATTTAGATCCACATCACATTCTCTCTCACATCTGAAACTAATACTTGCCTCTTGCACCTTAAATTTGCTTTAAGTCTACCTTCCCATCTAGAACACATTACACTACCCTCATTTTTATGCAGTTTTTCTACATGTTAAGATACATATCTTATGCTACTTTTTTTCTGGTAACACAGCTAGCTGTGTCAGCTGTACACCACACAAGTACTTCACAGGTTCAGATATTGCTATTACACACATGTTGAGTCTTGAGGGGTTTGTATATCACTAGTCTTTGTATATTACTAGTCAGTAAATCTCAACAGATTTACTGTCACTTGAA